CAATAACAACATGTGGACTTCAAGCACAAAGTCATAGTAGTTATTGTTTGAAAGCCGGTTGATAGATTTAGTTCATTTTGGAAGCTTTCAGAGCAACTGGTGTGAAATTATTTGAGGCTTTGAAAGAAAAGGATTTAAGAGCAGGGATTACCAAAGCAGAAGAATAAATATGAAAAAAAGATTAAAATGTAACTGAAGTAATACATAAAATGAATACATAGAGAAAGCAAGTTATATTTGGAAAAGAGGAAGAAAATTAAAATGAAAAAGAACTGATGTATATATCCAAATGGGCAGTTTTGATACAAGTTTGGTAAAACACATTCCTATAACTTCTATAATGTAGCAAAAGGTACAACTACTAAACACTATGGTTTCCTAAGGGAAGAAATATTAAAATGTATCAGGGATGAAAACTTAGAACATTAAAATTCCCTCAAGGGAAAATAAACTTCATGTACATATCTATACTTACAGCTTCATTAATTTAACATTCACTGCAGCTCCAGAAAGCAGAGCTACCTCATCAGATCCAAGCATGACATCAGCTGACACTCTTTACAGGAGACTCCAGCTGAACTCTGTGGAGCCTGATCTCAAGGTTTTTAAGTCTGACCCTGAAACCAGAAGAGGATCTTTCTGTCTCTTCAGATTCATTGTGATCCAGTGATTTCAGTCCTGCATGATCACGCTGATGTTTGCGCAGAGCAGATAATGAAGTGAATGCTTTTGCACATTGGTAACAGTGAAACAGTTTATTTGCAGAATGGGATCGCTTGTGTTTGGAGTATGAAGTGAAATTCCTAAAGCTCTTGTCACACTGGTCACAGCTAAATATCTCTTCTATGTGTGTACGTTCATGTTGGTTACGACTACCTGCATATGAAAAGCTTTTGTCACAGTGTCTGCACTTGTATGGCGTCTCTCCTGTGTGGATTCGGTTATGCTTTTTAAGGTCACCTGCAGTGGTGAAGGATGACCCACACTGGTCACAGACATGCTTTTTAACCCCACTATGGAAGAGTTCATGGTATTTTAAATCAGTTGATGTGGGGAAGCCTCTCCCGCATTCTTTGCAGTAGTTCATTTTGTCTCCAGTGTGTCTACGTCGATGTCGATTTAGACTCTGTCGATTACTGAAATTATTTCCACAAAGGTCACAGCGAAACTCTTTCCCACCACCACAGTGGCGACACGGTTGAGAACTGGATCCATCTGTGTCGCTCTGCTTCTAAACAAATACACAAAGACAGTGTAAGTCAGTCCTTCAACATTTTTTCCTGAATGTTGCCTGAAATAAAGAGCATCTCTGCCAACATCCAGTTACATTTTACTGTTTACATTATAACACTCAACTTAATAGGCGAAAATGACTCTCCATTTTTCCATCTAGTTCATTTAATATACAAACAATCATATCTAAACAACAAGTTACATCATATTCTTCATAAGTATATATGAAAAGTTCCAATCCAATCGGTCTCACTCCCAATTTAAAGCAAAAACAATTGTTTTTAGTTAGAAAAGAACATAAAACGTCATCTAACACTGGCCAGATTGTAGCAGTCATAATTTGGAAGAAAGGGGAGATTGTGACTACAGAAAAGTAATTATTTAGTGTTTTTATGATCATGGAAGAAAAAAATAATAACTGAAACTAAAATCTGATGAACCTCACAACGCTACCTTTAATTGCAGTAGAATTACTAACATGCTAAATAATATTTAAAGAGCAGAGTTGTTCCAAACAGTCAGGCTTAAAATACAAGATAAAAATATAAATACATACCTCACAGTAACTGCACTTGTAGAGTCTCTTTCTGGTGTGGATCTGCTGGTGCCCTTTCAGAGAATGTGGCGCTTTAAAAGTCTTCTCACACAGGTCACATTTATAAGGTCTCTCTTCAGTGTGGGTAAATGTGTGGTGATGTAACTGTGTGGCTGTTGTAAAGACTTTCCCACACTGATCACAGCAGTAAACATCTTGTCCAGTGTGAATCCGCAGGTGTCTTTTTAGGTAACTTATACTACTGAAGGTTTTACCACAATTGTCACAGCTGTTCGCCTTAATTCCAGAGTGGGTATCTTGATGACGTCGTAAGTTGCAACTGCGAGCAAATGTTTTACCACACTGATCACAGCTGTGTGCTTTAACTCCACTGTGGATGAGTTGATGTATTTTTAAGCTTCTAGGATGGGCAAAAGATTTTCCACACGAGTCACAAATGTATGGTTTAACCCCACTGTGGATGACTTGGTGTGTTTTTAAGTTGTCAGCCTGAGTAAAAGATTTTCCACACAAGTCACAGGTGTATGCTTTAAATCCACTGTGGATGAGTTTGTGTCTTTTTAAGCTTCCAGCATCGATAAAAGATTTTTCACACAAGTCACAGCTGTATGCTTTAACTCCACTGTGGATGATTTTGTGTTTTCTTAAGGTTCCAGCCCGGGTAAAATACTTTCCACACAAGTTACATCTGTGTGCTTTAACTCCACTGTGGATAAGTTGGTGTGCATTTAAGTGACCAAGCTGGGTAAAAGACTTTCCACACTCATCACAGTGGTATGATTTAACTCCACTGTGGATGACTTTGTGTTTTTTCAAGGTTCCAACCTGGGCAAAAGACTTTCCGCACAAGTCACAGCTGTATGCTTTAACTCCACTGTGGACGAGTTGGTGTG